GCAGAAGTAGCTCATCCTTCCTTTGCAAGAGCCAGCACTTCTGCTATGTGAGAAGATGCTGCTGAAGTTTTGCTCCTGGGAAATATCAGGTGTGTCCCTCAGGATCTGCCCTCACTTCCTCTCATGGCTGCTAGGCTGATAACTAGAGTTAAATCACAGCATCACCTGGCAGGGGACATGCTAGGCCTCAAAAGGGAGGAAAACTTTATAAATGTAAAAGATGGCAAGAATTAGCCATAATGGAACAGTGAACCCTGTGAGTACTACTGAGATTAGATTCTGATGGTGCTTGATCAAGGGAGACAATGTAGGACTAGATAAGCAAGGACTGATTTACTTAAGTGTACTTTTTCGAGACATGGGACTTAATGCCCTAGTTAGGAGCTAGGATGCCCGAGGATGGGGTAAACTCACTGCTGGGCTCTTAAAAGTCAGAAAAACAAGATGGTGAACTCTCGACAAAGTAGAAATGCCTGAATTGCACTTGCATTTGGTATAGTAAGGAAAAAAGAGGCTAAGAGAAATGGACATGCTGGAATGGATATAGTAGGTAAGACCAGAGACCCATCAGATGATCACATTCCATGAGAAGGCCCAGAGAATCACGCGTTCACCAAGGCCGTCAGCCATGCACTGGCATGAGGGGCCCAATCATCCTATGAAGTTCAGAGGTGGGGCTCCTCTGCAAGTTAGGAATGACAGTAGGAGAGGTAGTCCCAGAGCTGGGTGCATGAACAGCCATAAGGATAATGTTTGGGCCGCCACTGCAAGCATAAAGACCAGGTGACGAGGCTTAGCTACAATCAGCTAGGAGGCTGTAATCACCATAAAGAGCAGAAAGGTCAGAGCATGAGCTAAGGAGGAGCCCAGGAGACTTGACCCACAGGGAACTGTGTACACGAGGACTAGAGCATGTTGTCCTCGAGAACAAGAGAAATAGGCAGGCCACAGAAGTTCTGCTCAAAATCAACCACCACCACAGCACAACAGCAAGAATGGAAAGGTAGGGAGATGAGGGAAGTTGCCCAATAAAATATCACAATTCCTTGCTTGGTTGTCAGATCTGAGACCGTTTTCAGATTTGGAGCCCACTGACTGGGTCCTAGGGATCCCTAGGAGGAAGGACTGTGTGATACCCTGGAGGTATATACTGTGGCAATTCCCTTAGACCTCTCCTAAAGGGACCTATGGTTATTCACTTTGGTGACTGTATACCCAAAAAAGGTGGGTAATCACCAGACGTTTCAAGAACTATTAGACACTGAACACCAGTTAGTTTGCTGTCTCAACACTACACATCCCCAGAATCCAGCCATTGTCCTAGGGAGAATATCCATCGCATGATGGGTACTTCAAATCTAAGTCTCCCACGTTAGTCTTTCCAGGGTTTATTTCTTCTGCATCCTCTGACATTGTCAAACAGGTTATCATTTTATCTGGCTTTTCTCGTTGCTCTTAATAGGAGTCCTGGCCGCTCACAAGTTACTCCATCCCATTTAGGATGAAGTCTCATTCGGCATTTTAGCGTCTCCCGGAATAATGTAATTCTTCAATTCTTTTTTGTCGACAAATAGTTACTTAACAGCGATTATAGCACAGTATGAGATCAGAGTCAGGAAAAAAGCCTAAAAGTCTACCACCTAGAAAAAAAGGAAATATCGATATTTGGCGTTCACAGATGTCATGTAACACCCCCGCCCCGTCCCCGTGCTCTTCATACTCTGAGCGATACTGCCATCTCCTCCTCCCTTGTCTCCAATACTCACAACCTTGTCCCTCGAATTTGCTTTAAGCCCATCACGTTTAATCCTTTTAGGTGTATTATCGTTATTCATCTCAGTCACAAGAAGCCCTTGACTCCTAGGTTATCACCCATCTCTGGGACCCCAAACCTACACGGCTCTGTATATCTCCTACCCTATCCTCACCTCTTGTCATTCTTCAGTTCCTGGAACCATTTCGCCAGACCCTCTGGACTAAAGCATCAGTTACCTGGAAAATACCGTACGTCTTCAAATGTGGCAGCGAGAAATTTAAAAAATGGTACAAATGAACTTATTTACAAAACAGAAATAGAGTCACAGATGTAGAAAACAAACTGATGGTCACCAAGGGGGAAATGGGGGAGGGATAAATTGGGAGATTGGGACTGACATACACACACTACTATATATAAAATAGATAACTAATAAGAACGTACGGTAGAGCACAGGGAACTCTACTCAATACTCTGTAATGACCTATATGGGAAAAGAATCTAAAAAAGAGTGGATATATGTATAACTGACTCACTTTGCTGTACACCTAAAACTAACATGACATTGCAAATCAACTATACTCCATTAAAAATTAATTTAAAAAATATGGCAGTGAGGTTTCCCTTCACTTTTTTCACTCCAACCGAGAAGGCCCATTTCCACTCAGACCCCTGACACGCTGGCTAGTTTCTCTCCCACCGTCCTACTACCCCAGGGTGTGGAGGCTGGTGGGTGTTCCTCACACTGACACTTTCTGTCTCTTCTCCCTCTGTCTCCCTTAAACCCACCCAGATTAGAATTTTACACCATCCGCGTATGCAACCCAACCCCCTCCTTATTCCAGTCACCTCAGTCCTCTCCAGTTACTGCCCCATTTCTCTGCTTTTCTGAAATGTAACATTGGATATTTATTTTTGCCTTCAATTCCTCTCTTTCTAGTCTCTAACTCAAACCAATGAGGCTTTTTGGCCTCATCTCTCCACTGTAACAGCTTTCGCTGAAGTCAGGAATAGTCTCCCATTGTTAAAGCTTTTAATCAGTTCTCTTGCCATGATTGTTAAGCAACATTTGTTATCAGTTGTTCCATGATTGTGAAGAAACATTTGGCACCATTGCTCGATCTTTTTAAACACTTTTATCACTTGGCTTTCAGGTAGAAAATTCTCCTGCTTCTCCTCCTACTTTACTGGGTGCTCTTTCACAGTCTTTGTTTTAGCTTTTTCTTTTGTCCTTTTTTATTTTCTCCTGTATCTATTTTTCTCAGCCTCTGGCAGTGATTTTTCTACTCTCTATTTCTATGAGTTTGACTTTGCAAAGAAATAATTCACATATAAGTGATACCATGCAGTGTTTGTGTTTCTCCAGCTGGCTTATTTTACTTAGCACACTGCTTTCAAGATTCATCCATGTTGTTGCAAATGGCGAGATTTCCTCCTTTTTCATGGCTGAATAATATTCCATTCAAAAATGCTTCTCCCACCCCACTAAGTGTCTACATCTCTCTCACCTCCTTCATATCTTTGGTCAGATATCATCTTGTATGTGAGACCTCCCATAGCACTGTACTTATAACTGCACATGTGCACACATGCAAAGGCACACACATACACACACACACACAGGCACTCCATAAGCTGCTTTTATCTTTTTCCATTGTTGCCATCCCCATTTGACATAGCATGTATTTAACTTATTATTGATTCTCTCTTTCCACACTAGAATGTACAGTATATGAAGGAAGAATTTTTCTCTATTTTGTTTACTGCTATATCTCCAGTAGTTAGAACCATGATTAACACATTGTAGGCACTCAAGGAAAGTTATTCAATTATTGATCAAAAGAATTAACAAATCCTTAGGGATATAAGGCCATTTTGAGGGTGGGCAGAGAGAGAGACACCATTGGTAAGCCTAGTGGGATTTTCAGTGTATAGATGAATTTGGTATGACGTACATAGTCGAATTAAAAAATATTTCTCAGGGCTTCCCTGGTGGCGCAGTGGTTGAGAGTCCGCCTGCCGATGCAGGGGACACGGGTTCGTGCCCCGGTCCGGGAAGATCCCACATGCCGTGGAGCGGCTGGGCCCGTGAGCCATGGCCGCTGAGCCTGCGCGTCCGGAGCCTGTGCTCCGCAACAGGAGAGGCCACAACAGTGAGAGGCCCGTGTACCGCAAAAATAAATAAATAAATAATAAAAAATATTTCTCAGACCATATATTCCCAGAGAAATCTTTTGAGAGCGGGTATATACTCTCGCTTTTTTTTTTTTATCAGTGAGCCTCACAGACAAGCTGAAAAGTTGTAGCTTTACAATTCTACCTATAAACTAATGTTGCCTACTCAGTTTTTATGTTTCCTCATTAGCAATCCCTCTCAATCTCTAAATGTAATTAAGTCATTCTTCACTCATTCAGCAACCACTTATCGAGTACCTACTATTTACCAGGCCGTGTGCTAGTAGTTGGGGATGTACGGTTTCTGCTCTCAGAAAACTTATAATCGCATTTTTCTCACAATGTCCAATAGCCCCTCTTACCTACAGCTTTAGTAACGTCATGTAAAGTTAGGTGGTTATTTGTGGAAATCCTGATACATATATCATTGACCTTAACTGCTTTGGGTCTATCGCAAAATAAACACTCAAAAATAGACAATGTGATCTAACGTAAATGACACAGCCTTTCAATACAGAGACCTGAATTCTAATTTCTATAATGAACGTGGTTAACATTTGTAGCAGGTCAAAGGGTCTCTATTTACCTTGGTTTCTTCATCTGTAAGAAAGAGTTAGTAATCCCTATTAAATGCAAAAGATTCTTGTGAGGACAAAGTACAAGTTAATAAAATGCTTTTGAAAACTTAATGTTCTACTTAAACATGTAATAAAATTATTAAATCAATTGGGAGCCTAATCTGTGTGATGTGACTAAAACCAAGTTTTGGAAGCAGACAGGCATTGAGTCAAATGCTAGCCCTGGGACTAGGCAGCAAATGGAAACAATGACATTTAATTTACAAAGTCAGTGTGGGAATTAGAATTGATGGATGAAGCCATTGTCAACTCTTTTTACTTACTGTAATATTTTGGCACATGACCATTAGAATTGCTCATTTTCTAACGTACCTCAGTTTTTAAATCTGTAGAATGGGCAAAACATATTGTAACGGACTTTTTTCCAAAGGCCTCCGCAGAAGTCCTGCATTAATAATAGATTGTGATCCCCAAGCAGAAGTCACTATTACCATATCGTGGAGGCAGCACTTTGACATTCTTTATTAGATTTCTGCGTGGTCAACTCTGAAGACAGAGACAGAAAAAATCACATTCAGAAAAAGCTCTTCAGGGCAGGACACTAGAGGAAAAGAATAATGAGGTCATACAAATTGTAAAGTAAACCAGGCAAAGGGCCAAGAACTTTCATGCAAAGGGAGACTGGAGAGAATCAGCTCTCACGTACCTACAGCTTCCAGCTCCTTTCAAGCAGCAGGAGACAAAGAACACTCTTCTCTGGCAATTTTTAAAAGTCAAAGCCAAACGAGCCCGTCACTTCCACTGCGATTAGAGGACATCCCTTCGCTGTTCACGGTCGGCCTCAACCACTGGATCTACTGACATCATTCTAGTCACACGGCGGAGATGTTAACAGTTTGTGGAAACTTCAATTCCACAGTAACCTAGTGTCAAGGTTATTCTCCTAAGCCAATGAAAGTGGAATAATGAAATGGTCGAGTCATTTTATTACAATTGGGTTGTACAGGCTTTGTGCCTCCGCCGAAAGTGCCCAGAACTAGGAGGGCTCTGTCTCCCCTCCCCTGCCCCTCCAAGTACTTTTGGTCTTCTGAAATGAAAAAACACTAAGCTTTATATTTTAACAGCTAGAAATGAGCTGCGGTTTTAACACACTCCAAAGCCCTTTTCTGACGCCCTTTCTCAACTGCCTCTATCCTAGCAGTTCTCTATCCGTTTTAGACGGCATGAAACCAATTCTGTTTCCTGATCTGTCCCTTAATGCTTCAGAAACAAAATGATACTTTATGAACCAAAGGGCAAACTCAGTTGCATTATCTGCTACTGAATTATATTGATTTCAGGGCGCTTCACTTAAAAAACCAATTTGTGGGGATTTAGGTCACATTTTGATAATTCGGCCTACAAAAGCCTAACCATTTTTTATTCTCTGGTCAAATCTGAGCACTCAAGAGTATCACAAAGAGTTGTATTATTCTACGTCACAAGCTCAAAATGTAACGCATTGTTGTAAGACCAGAATTTTCCTACTGCTGTTCAAAGGTATATGATTACCATGAAAAGGTACCACAAATAGAATCGGAAGAATAGCTGTTATTTATGTATACAGATATTTATATTTATTTATTTTTAATATTATCGCAAAAAGATAGCCCATCTCTGCTCAAGGCCTGAAATAGTGAACAGTTTACCACCACAAGAAATAGGAAATTTTGATTCCTGATACGTGGCATTTGATATTTATAATGTTGTTCAATAGGTAAGTTTGCTATTTAAATTTGGTTTTGTTCTTTGCCTGGTTATTATTTTAGGGTGTGTCTATAGGCTAGTCACTTGCTGCCCGTCAGATGCTTGTTTTTTGATGATTGATTCCGAGTTAAACAAACAGGTTTCTTCTCTCTCACCCATCTCTTGCCCAGTCTTTCTCAAGCTCATTAATTTTGTGGCCCGGATGAACTTGGATTAATCTTTTCTTCAGAGTCATGGCTTTCTTTATCCAGTGACCATATTTAACATCTGTATGATATACCTTGGGTCAAGATAAAGTTTTCTAAAAACTAGTGCTCGTGAAATGTTTTCTCACTAGAACAGAAGGGCTGTGATTTTCCACCCAGCGCAGGAGCACAAGAAGCAAGAATACATTCCTCTGCTGGTTCCAGAAAGAAGGGCTAAGGCTCTCAGGGTTTCCTTGTTTCTCTGTGATCACACACATATTGCTAATGGCCCGAGGCACTCATACATGTCCGGGAGCTCTCCAGCCTTCTCTTGAACTAATTCCTTCCAGAGAGTCTGTTCAAGTGTGACTCATCACTTTACAAAGCCACTGCCTTCCCACACTCCTCCTGCCAAATGCGGAGGGCATGGCTTTCCCATTGGATTCCAGCCATGTCTTTCATACATTTGACGTAATCCTCGTTCCCATTGTGTTTGTGCACCAGCTTGTGCAAAACTGCAGTCAAAAAAGTAGAGCAGAACCTAAAAACTTACCAAATGACTCTTCTGAGATTGCTTCAGTTACCCTGAAGTATTCTTTGGCTGTGAAAATCTCCACCGGTCTGAATAGGGACTTTTTAGTTCTGTTTATTTGCATGTTTGTTTTTAGTGGGAGAGTGGGGCGTTCTAAGACGTCATAGGATTTAGGAAAGTAGGAGAGATTAGAGAAGACATAAAAAATACAGTTAGACATGCTGAAGAAGTAAAAAAATGTTTTTTTAATAAAAAATTGCACATATTTAGTAGAATTTACCATCTGAGCAGACACTAGACCTTACTAGAGATTTCATGGCAATAGAAATATTCATCATACCCTGTCTCTGCCTGGACTTTCCTCCATTAATTACCCCTTCTCTTCTCAGCACTGTCAACCTTTTCCTTTCCACTGGCATCTTTCCCTAATCTACAAACATGCTCAAGGCTCTCCCATCTTAGGAATGAAGACTTCCTCATCTCTGCCTAAAATCCACCTACCGCACCATCTCCTTTAAAAAAGTTTTTTTTTTTAATAGCTCAGCTTCTAGAACAAGCGATCTACATGAACTGTCTCTACTTTCGAATATTTAGTCCTTTCCCTTATTGATTACAGTCCTTCCCACCCCTACAGTATTTCTGTTCCAAAGGCAGCTTCTATGTTGCTAATTCCAATTTTATTATTCAGTATTCTTGCATACAGGTGACTGAAAACTCAATTCATGCTGAGTTAAGCCAAAAGTTAGTTTTATTATTGTGGTTGTTATTATTACTTAGCTCCTTTACCTAAAAACAAAAAAAAATCATAGTCAGAGCTAACTTCATTTAACTTCGGTTCATCCAACTGAACCAGGACTTACTATCACTTTCTTGACTCTGTCTCCCTCGATTCTGGCTTGACTTCCTGGCCAGTTCATGCTTCATGGTGGCAAAAGATGACAAGGATTTCTAGGTTCACATTCTCCTTGCTCTAAATCTATCAGAAAAATAGACCTTGTCTCCCATATAATTCTCAAGGGTAACTGGTGACTCGGAATGAGTTATATACCCACTGCTCAACCAAGCAGTCCAAGGAGCTGCAACATTCTGATTCAGTAAGGCTTGTGTCATATGTATTCTTTGGAATCAAGCATGGGTTTGAATTTCAACTCTAACAGTGTTTCTTGGTAGTAATAATATAATTACATCTATATGTTATACACTTTACAGCTAACATCTGTTCTTTATAATAACTATACAAATTACATGTTAAACATTTTGAAGAGGATAGATATTTGAAGAACTTGAACTCTTAAAATTAAGAAAATCTAGGATCTGAACTCAGGTTTGTTTAGTTTCAAAACTCTGTTCTTCTCACTCATCAGCCTGAGATACTCTACCTACGGCACTCATCACAGTGCTAGCACATACCTGACTCATGCTAGTTCTTTTCTTTTCTCTGCACATGCAGTTCTGATCACGTCATAACTCTTGAATATTTTGTCTTGAAGAGCCCTCCATAACCTGGCTCCTGCCTACCTACTTTAAGTGGCTTCATCTCTTACCATTTTCCCCCAGGTCATTCTGAAACATTTGTTCTTACTTCACTTATTTGTCTGAAATCTTGAATATAAGATGTCTTCATTCTGTCTGGCTTCCCCTCCCCACGGCAAACTATTCATTTTTCAATTCTGGCCTCAAGCATTTACTTTCTCCTGTGTTCCTCTGCAGTTCATACATACCTCCATTATGGAGGTTATTTTATTATTATTCAGTAGCAGTTCCTATATGTTCTCTCCATTATGTGTAAAGTCTTTAAGTCAAGGCCATGGATCAGATCATTTTATTTTCATATCCCCAGGGACACAGTGCAGATGCTATGTAGATGTTGAGTGAATGAATATATATACAAAGAAGTCAATTCTTTTTTTTTTCCAAATTAGCCCAAACTCCCTCTGCCAGCATGAACTCTGTAAGATACGAACAGCAACAAGAAAAAGTAACAGAAAGAGAGAGAGAGAGAGAGAAAGAAAAACCACCTAAAGACACCCTGCCATATAGAGAAATTACAGAGAAAATATTTTCTTGTCTTTTATATAAAGAAGTGATCACTGAACCACAACCAATTATTATTTAAAAAGTAGAGAATTCAGGCTACTTGCCTTCTACTCTTGGTGGACACAGGAAAAAACAATTCCTGATAGCCCCTTTGCTTTCCACTAAGTTGATACTGATAAAGCCTGTTTAAATAATCTTCATTTTGCACTTATTCCTCTATCTCTATTGCTTTAGCTACTGCCTTAGTCTAGATCTTCACCTTTGCTTGAATTATTGAAAGTCTCCCTCCTCACCCTTCCTTCTGCATGGGCCTCTCTGCAAACTGTCTTCCACTTGGCTGCAAGAAGGATATCACTAAAATAAACAAGAAATCCTTCTATAGGTTTCTTTTCTCTTTAGCACAAACTCCAGATTTCTAAAATGTCAAAGCTATTCAAAACCATCTCAGTCTATCTCTTTGGTGTCTCTCTCTTTACTATGCCCACATTCACCTCATACTCCAGCCACACCAAAACTATCTAAACCATCCTGCATTCACTTATCATTTTGATTCTCTTTACTTTTCTTGGGCTGCTGCTTTTTTCTGGAACACTCTTCTCACTTCGTCTACTTGGCAAGTACAAGCTCATAATCATTGCAACCATCATTTTACCTGTAAACTTGTCAGATCCTCCTACATATAACTGCTTCTTACCTTTTCCCTAGAGGTACATACTTTTATCAGAGAGCCTACAACACTTTATTTCTTGTATTTATTTATTCTGTCTTTCCCACTAGATGGGAAAGCCCTTGATCAGGGACTGTATCTTACTCATCTCTTGTTCCCTGGCACCTAGCCCAGTGCTCAGAACATAAATATTTGGTGATTGGGTTGAAAAGAGGGAAGGAAGAAGAGACAGAAATGCGGAAAGAAGTAAGTCTACTTTCACTTTCATTTCAGGCCTCTGACATACACACCCCAGAGAGAAAAATCTCGGAAAGAATAAAAGAGTGAAGAGTCTTGTCTATATCAAAGTGGCTTTGCCAATAACAGCATTTGTTGCAACAGAGTCAAGTATATATATGCATGGATTATTTGGCCTTAAGTTATCACTTGCAATATTTTAATTCTCCCAGGAATTGCCTTTTTTTTAAATAGATCTTTATTGGAGTATAATTTCTTCACAATACTGTGTTAGTTTCTGTTGCACTACAAAGTGAATCAGCCATAGGCATAAACACGTCCCCATATCCCCTCCCTCTTGAGCCTCCCCCACATCCTCCCTATCCCACCCCTCGAGGTCATTGCAAAGCACCAAGCTGATCTCCCTGTGCAATGCTGCTGCTTCCCACCAGCCAACTATTCTACATTCTGTAGTGTACATATGTTGATGCTACTCTCACTTCACTCCAGATTCACCCTCCCACCCCATGTCCTCAAGTCCATTCTCTATGTCTACCTCTTTATTGCTGCCCTGCAACTAGGTTCATCAGTACCTTTTTTTTTTAGATTCCATATATATGTGTTAGCATACAGTATTTGTTTTTCTCTTTCTGACATACTTAACTCTGCATGACAGACTCTAGGTCCATCCAGCTCACTACAAATAACTCAATTTCGTTTCTTTTTATGACTGAGTAATATTCCATTATATATACATGCCACATCTTGTTCATACATTCATCTGTCGATGGACATCTAGGTTTGTTCCATTTCCTGGCTATTTTAAATAGTGTTGCAATGAACTTTTGGTACATGTCTCTTTTTGAATTATGGTTTTCTCAGGGTATATGCCCAGTAGTGGGATTGCTGGGTCATATGGTAGTTCTATTTTTAGTTTTTTAAGGAACCTCCATACTGTTTTCCATAGTGGTTGTATCAATTTACATTCCCACCAACAGTGTAGGAGGGTTCCCTTTTCACCACACCCTTTCCAGCATTTACTGTTTCTAGCTTTTTTGATAATGGCTATTCTGACCTGTGTGAGATGATACCTCATTGTAGTTTTGATTTGCATTTCTCTAATAATTAGTGATGTTGAGCACCTTTTCATGTGCCTCTTGCAATCTGTATGTCTTCCTTGGTGAAATGTCAATTTAGGTCTTCCACCCATTTTTAAACTTGATTGTTTGTTTTTTTGATATTGAGCTCCATGAGCTGTTTGTATATTTTTGAGATTAATCCTTTGTCTGTTGTTTCATTTGCAAATATTTTCTCCCATTCTGAGGGTTGTCTTTTTGTCTTGTTTATGGTTTCCTTTGCTGTGCAAAAGCTTTTAAGTTTAATTAAGTCCCATTTGTTTATTTTTGTTTTTATTTCCATTACTCTAGAAGGTGTGTCAAAAAAGACCTTACTGTGGTTTATATCAAAGAGTGTTTTTCCTATATTTTCTTCTAAAAGTTTTATAGTGTCTGGGCTTACATTTAAGTCTTTAATCCATTGGGAGTTTATTTTTGTGTACAGTGTTTTAATTTCATTCTTTTACATGTAGCTGTCCAGTTTTCCCAGCACCACTTACTGGAGAGGCTGTCTTTTCTCCATTGTATGTTCTTGCCTCTTTTGTCATAAATTAGGTGCCCATATGTGGCTGGGTTTATCTCTGGGCATTCTATCCTGTACCACTGATCTATATTTCTGTTTTTGTGCCAGTATCATACTGTCTTGATTACTGTAGCTTTGTGGTATAGTTTGAAGTCAGGAGCCTGATTCCTCCAACCACGTTTTTCTTTCTCAAGATAGCTTTGGCTATTTGGGGTCTTTTGTGTATCCATATGAATTGTAAGATTTTTTGTTCTAATTCTGTGAAGAATGCCATTGGTAGTTGGATAGGGATTGCAATTTGTAGATTGCTTTCGATAGAACAGTCATTTTCACAATATTGATTCTTCCAATCCAAGAACATGGGATATTTCTCCATCTGTTTATGTCATCTTTGATTTCTACTGATCAGTGTTTTATAGTTTTCTGAGTACAAGTCTTTCGCCTCCTTAGGCAGGTTTATTCTGAGGTATGTTATTCTCTTTGTTGCAGTGGTCAATGGGACTGTTTCCTTAATTTCTCTTTCTGATTTTTCATTGTTGGTGTATAGGAATGCCAGAGATTTCTGTGCATTAATTTTGTATCCTGCAACCTTACCAATTCATTGATTAGTTCTAGTAGTTTTCTGGAGGCATCTTTAGGATCTTCTATATATAGTATCATGTTATCGGCATATAGTGACAGTTTTACTTCTTCTTTTCCAAATTGTATTCCTTTTATTTCTTTTTCTTCTCTGATTGCTGTGGCTAGAACTTCCAAAACTATGTTGAATAAGAGTGGTGAGAGTGGACATCCTTGTCTTGTTCCTGATCTTAGTGGAAATGCTTTCAGTTTTTCACCATTGAGCATGATGCTTGCTATGCATTTGTCATATATGGCCTATATTATGTTGAGGTAGGTTCTCTCTATGCCCATTTTCTGGAGAGTTTTTATCATAAATGGTGTCGAATTTTGTCAAAAGCTTTTTCTGCATGTATTGAGATGATCATATGGTTTTTATTCCTTAGTTTGTTAATGTGGTGTATCACATTGATTGATTTGTGTATATTGAAGAATCCTTGCATCCCTGGGATAAAGCCCACTTGATCATGGTGTGTGATCCTTTTAATGTGCTGTTGGATTCTGTTTGCTAGTATTTTGTTCAGGACTTTTGCATCTATGTTCATCAGTGATATTGGTCTATAATTTTCTTTTTCTGTGATATCTTTTTCTGGTTTTGGTATCAGGGTGATGGTGGCTTCATAGAATGAATTTGGGAGTGTTTCTCCCTCTGCTATATTTTGGAAGAGTTTGAGAAGGATCGGTGTTAGCTATTCTCTAAATGTTTGATAGAATTCACCTGTGAAGCCATCTGGTCCTGGACTTTTGTTTGTTGGAAGATTTTTAATTATGGTTTCAATTTCATTACTTGTGATAGGTCTGTTTATATTTTCTAATTCTTTCTGGTTCAGTCTTGGAAAATTGCACCTTTCCAAGAATTTGTCCATTTCTCGTGGTTGTCCATTTTATTGGCATATAGTTGTTCGTAGTAGTCTCTTATAATCCTCTGTATTCCTGCAATGTCAATTGTAATTTCTCCTTTTCATTTATTTTATTGATTATCAACCTCTCGCTTTTTTTCTTGATGAGTCTGACTAAGGGTTTATCAATTTTGTTCATTTTCTCAAAGAACCAGCTTTTAGTTTTATTGAGCTTTGCTCTTGTGTTCTTCGTTTCTACCTCATTTACTTCTGCTCTGATCCTTATAATTTCTTTCCTTCTACTGACTTTGGGTTTTCTGCTCTGATCTTTATGATTTCTTTCCTTCTACTGACTTTGGGTTTTCTTTGTTCTTCTTTCTCTAGTTGTTTCAAGTGCAGGGTTAGATTGTTTATTTGAGACTTTTCTTGTTTCTTGAGGTGAGACTGAATTGCTATAAATTTCCCTCTTAAACTGCTTTTCCCATAGGTTTTGTGCCCTTGTGTTTTCGTTGTCATTTTTCTCTATGTATTTTTTCATTTCTTGATTTCTTCAGTGATCTCTTGGTTATTTAGTAGCGCATGGTTTAGCCTCCATGTATTTGTGTTTTTTACAGTTTTTTTTCCTGTAATTGATTTCCAATCTCATAGCATTGTGGTCAGAAAAGATGCTTGGTATGATTTCAATTTTCTTAAATATTCTAAGGCTTGATTTGTGACCCCAGATGTGATCTACCCTGGAGAATATTCCACGTGCACTTGATAAGACAGTGTATTCTGCCACTTCAGGGTGTAACGTTCTATAAATATCAATTAGATCTATCTGGTCTATTGTGTCATTTAAAGCTTGTGTTTCCTTATCTATTTTCTGTTTGGATGATCTGTCCATTGGTGTAAGTGGTGTGTTAAAGTCCCCTACTATGACTGTGTTACTGTCGATTTCTCCTTTCATGATTGTTATCATTTGCCCAATGGGTGCTCCTATGTTGGGTGCATAAATTTTTATAATTGTTATATCCTCTTTTTGGATTGATCATTTGATCATTATGTAGTGTCCCTCCTTTTCTCTTGTAACAGTCTTTATTTTAAAGTCTATTTTATCTGATACAACTATTGCTACTCCAGCTTTCTTTTGATTTCCATTTGCATGGAATATCTTTTTCCATCCTCTCACTTTCAGTCTGTACGTGTCCCTAGGTCTGAAGTGGGTCTCTTGTAGACAGCATATATATGGGCCTTGTTTTTGTATCCATTCAGCCAGTCTGTGTCTTTCTGTTTGGACATTTAATCCATTTACATTCACAGTTATTATCAATATGGATGTTCCTATTACGATTTTCTTAATTGTTTTGGATTTGTTTTTGTGGGTCTTTTTCTTCTCTTGTGTTTCCCACCAGAGAAGTTTCTTTAGCATTTGTTATAAAGCTGGTTTGGTCATGCTGAATTCTCTTAGCTTCTGTTTGTCTGTAAAGCTTTTGACTTCTCCATCGAATCTGAATGTGATCCTTGCTGGGTAGAGTATTCTTGGTTGTAGGCTTTGCTCTTTCATCACTCTAAGTATATCCTGACACTCCCTTCTGGCCTGAAGAGTGAAAAGTCAGTTGATAACCTCATGGGGATTCCTCTGTATGTTATTTTTTTGTTTTTTCCTTGCTGCTTTTAATATTTTCTCTCTGAATTTAATTTTTGTTAGTTTGATTAATATGTGTTTTGGTGTGTTTTTCCTCAGGTTTATCCTGTATGGGACTCTCTGTGCTTCCTGAACTTGGGTGGCTATTTCCTTTCCCATGTTAGGGAAGTTTTCGACTATAATCTCTTCAAATATTTTCTCAGACCCTTTCTTTTTCTCTTCTTCTTCTGGGACCCCTATAATTCGAATGTTGGTGCCCTTAGTTTTGTCCCAGAGGTCTCTGAGATTGTCTTCAATTCTTTTCATTCTTTTTTGTTTATTCTGCTTCTTGGCAGTTATTTCCACCATTTTGTCTTCCAGCTCACTTATTCATTCTTCTGCCTCTGTTATTCTGTTATTGATTCTTTCTAGTGTATTTTTCATTTCAGTTACTGTGTTGTTCATCTCTGTTTGTTTTCTAGTTCT